ATAATATTCGGCATTTATTCTGATGCCACGGTCGATTAATACGAAAGGAGGGCGACCATCGGCTGTTATGGCGGACCACACCATCACCGCGCTTGAGTTTTGGTGGCCAATCGAAGTTGCAAATTTTCAGCTGACCTCTTTGGCAAGTAAACACGATCATTTTGTATGTTTACAAACTGCTGGTCAACGAATGTTTTCTCATCGGACAAAACCAAATTCAGCAGTTCACCACTTTCGGCCAAGCGAAGCAACTCTTTAGCTCTTTTGAGTCTATTTTCTTTCTGTTGCGGTGTAAGTTCTTGCACTTTTTGGAATATTAATGGCTTTACCCCGAGCACATTTTTCAATATTTTCCGAAAGGAATATTGCGATATGTTCACCTCACGAGCCATTTTTCGGCCAATGCGACGCGGGTTTCGATCAAGACGCTTCTTTACTTTTCGAACCATTTCTGCTGATGTTGCTGTTTTCTTCCGTCCACTTCCTTGACGTCGAGCTACGCTGACAGTATCACGGTAATGAGCGATGGTACGAGACACAAACGATTTATTCACATTTAAATGCTGGAGTGCTCTAACGATAGCCACTTGTGAGTTTCCAGCCAAATATAAGGAAATCACCCTAACACGCTTGAATTCCATCACGAATAACTTTTTTTTTCTCACCAAAATGCTTTCGTATGCTTGTAAACAATATAATGAGCTATCACTGGAATAATTTTAACAGCTGTCGGACGAGTGGTTTAGAAATGACAGCAGTCTGAAGTTGGTTGCAGTTTTTTTCATCTCACCCTGTAGGTAGTTGGATGTGTCATAAATGGGATCAAGCACTTTGTTTACATTTTTAATGTTGCACAGTGTAATAGGCGCAAGCGAACTATTCAAGAAACAATTAACCTGAATAACAACAATGATTTTGTCTGGCAAGACAAGTGGGAATTTTTGATTTTTGTAAATTCATTAATAATTTTATGCAGCAAATTTAAATGAACATTTATTAATATGTGAGATATGTTAAGTTATTAAATATAAATAATTCAGTTAGAGTTAAGAAAAGGCTAAACTAAAGGGTAAGAATAAACATGTGGTACAATAATTTCCAATGTTTTTCTAATGATGGCCTTGATAATGTCATATAAACATTATATATTTATTAATGACAACTTAGCATAACAGCAAGCACCTGCAAATTTATACGATCGATGATCAAGAGATTTAGACGTGTCCATCTGTATGAATTATATAACATTTTACAAAGAAAATGCTCTTATAAGGCATTGCACATTTTGGAGATCTTCAATCTAAGCCCTAGAGGAGCTTCGTTCTACCTATAGAACATATTCTAAGAATTGTCAGTATATAAAAGTAATATTACCCATGTAATACATTCAATTTCGATATGTCGACGTTACGTTTGTTTCAGGGTATTTAAGCAAAACACTGATCAGTTTTGGATGGTTTCAAAAGCTAATTACCGTCTTCGGTTGATTGCTATCGGAAGCGTTCACAGGTTGCAGGTAGTGGAAATTGGGTCAGAATCTCCGTATTCAATTGGCAATCAAATGCCAATGATACTTAGACAGAGGAGGCGATGTTTTGGCGCCCCTAAAATAGTCAAACCTTTGTGGTCGGGTGTTATGCCACCATGTGCCTATTATAGTGGCAGATTTGCAATCAGGGTACCGTATTCTAATTGTATTCTAACGGAGCTTCGTTGATGCTTGAGCGCCTCAAGAAATATCTAGTTTAGTTATAGTGTCCTTACCATGGTATGGGGGCTTCAGTCTCTTTATGACGACGATGAAAGAAATATAACCCCACAAAAAAAACAATTAATTCTCTTTCAGCTGATGCTGGCGTGGACACATTGGCACCCTCGGTCAATAAAGATACCAGTGCGAAGATTACGTACACCTCCAAAAGATTGACCCTTATATCCGATTCAGACAGGATCGTTTGCTACCAGTAGTAGGGCGAAGCGGGCGCGAAGTCTGAGAGGCGACAATGGACCTAATAAACGATAGTGCAGCCAGACAGCAGATAGCAATCCGACAAATCATTGTGGGTATGGGACCGTCAGTAAGGATAGCATACCTAACCTCTCTGACTGATGAAGAATTGGATATGGATACTATGGTAATCCATGTCTCGATCTCTAGGCTTTGATAGTCCCGGCAGTCCCAATCTCACACTCTCAAGACAGGAAGCAATCAAAGAGGGACCAGCGTTTAAATAGAGGCAGAAACAACGAGAAGTGTACGAAAAAAGGACTCATTGTGCTCAATCAGTGCTTTAGGAAATGCTTTAGGAAAGAGCTAGGGGCTTCGACCACAAGTCGTACATTGGCTGTACGTCACAGTGGTCTTACCTCATCTGACCTATGAGTGCCTTGTCTGATGGTATGCTATAGAATTAAGATAGCGCATATCCAAATTTACCTCCATGCGTCCTTGCTTTCTCCTCGATCTGCGTTGAACGCATCCAGGCTTTGAATATATTGGCCAAGTTTCAGGCTGCAAGGAGTACGCTGAGACTACAGGAAGCGATCATGCGTTTTGGTCACGCACGAATCCTAAAATATATTGAGTGAAGTTTATAAAATTAGTGATTGCATGTCGATATGTCCTACTTTAATTGAATTGACGCAACAATATCTGACGCTTAGGTTGGTGATGAATCTCCTAAGCACAGTCCGGCTATACAAATGGCTAAATGCTCCGGCGCTTGCGTATTCTGACCAAATCCATTAATCGCTCATGTAAACTTAATGACAATTGTAGCGTTTTTCAAAGGGAGAAGGTAGCCGAAATGGTTAGAGACCTTTGTAAATTATTTAGCAATTTTCATAAATATAAAATCTGCTAAATATTCTGTTAAAATCTTAAAAATACCGGATGTAGCCGTTATTTTAGGATCTATACGACGACGTAGATCTACATGGGCAACTTTTGCCATAAGCCATTACAATATTCAAATGTGAAACTTAAAAAAATCGATGAATAACGTCGCTAAAATCATCAAAATACCGAATATCGGGAGGTGCCGTTATATGAGGGCTATACGAAGACTTGGACCAGCACAGACAATTTTCTGTCATAGACTGTAGAATCCATTACGAACGTCGAATACCAAATTTGAAACCATTCCGGTGAATAATGTCGCTAGAATAATCTAAAAACCGAATATCGGGAGGTGCCATTATATGGGGGCTATACGAAGACGTGGACCTGCACAGTAAATTTTCTGTCTCAGGCAAACAAACTTTAAATACTAAATTTGAAACGAGTCCAGAATAATGTCGCTAAAATCACCAAAATACCGTATATCGGGAGGTACCGTTATATAAGGGCTATACGAAGACGTGGACCTGCACAGACATTTCAGTATCCTGTAGTATCCATTACGAACTTCATATACTAAATTTAAAACAATTTTAAACAAAAGTCCTGCAAACATAATACATATTTGAGTAAAATTTTATGAATCTACTTCATTTCGTTCGGAAGCTAGAGTGATTTCCATGGACAGACGGACGGACATCGCTAAATCAACATAGAATTTTATGCTGATTAAGAATATATATATTTTGCAGAATCTAAAATGTTATATTTCGTTACAAACGGAACGGCAATCTTAATATACCCTCCATTCAATGGAGGAGGATATAAAAAGCATCAGTTATTATATATGTCGATAGTCAGGCTACCCATTAAATCGAAAGTCTTGATTGACTGTAAGAAAGCTTTCCTTGATATTCGTGAATTCATTGATTCATTACTGGCATCTGACCAGCAATCTGTAGAAGATCCTGCTCCCTCCTATTAATTACTAGGTTCGATCTAAGAATCGCGATTAGCTTATTGACGGGCCACTGCAGTATCAGATATGTGAGGTCCAGATGGGACAACAGTGTTCCTGACTACTGTAGACTATGTGAAGATGAAATAGAGATAGAGAAGATTGTACATCCACTTCCCATGTTATCCAACAAGAGACATAGGTTGTTTGACAGGTGGGAGATCTTCGGGTCTCAAACGTAGATATCATCATCCATAGGTTTGTTTAAAATCAAATCAGACAAAACTCGATCCATTCTTTCTTTCTCAGTTTATACCATGCCTACCACCACCAATTCTTCCTATAATGAACACAGTGGACCAATGGTCTGCGAGTGAATCAGCTGTCGACATCAGTGTAGATACGTTTACAAAGACATTCCACCCCTAATTTAAGATGGGAATCTGGCAAGTTTGATATAACCCCATTATGTAGGCTTTAAGAAGAGACGTATGTCCTATTTGAAGCGAGAAATGCACATATACAGTAATGAGACATATACATAAATCATTTTAAAAGATATCTACTTTCTAATCGCTTTAGTTTTCCTAGTCGTTATTTTATATCGTTGTGCCAAATGATGACTTATACATCAATCCCTCTATAGATTTGATCACAGAGAGAACATTCGACATTATGGGTTACTGAAGAAATTGGCCCCAAATGTTTGTTTCCATTTTAACCGATCTTAATGTCCTTTCTTCTTGAAGAACTTACAGCGATTTTCAATATCATAACTGTTGTCTTCCAATCGAATAAGAAATATTGCCGTGCTCAACGTCATTGCTCTCAATATCTGTTAAAGGATACTTGTTCTTTATCCGCAAGATTTAGATAGTATTTTTAACTACTATTGTATTCGACAATACGACAAAAAAAGAAGTGAATAAATTTATGCAAAACGAAAAAATGACAACAGTGCACACAACCATTTTATTCAAAAAGGCACGACCGTAGCAAACGTTAGAAGAATTTAAAAGTGAATAAAAAATGCACAGTGGGTACAAAAACAAAAAGACACGTAAAAAAGGAATTCCAGAAATGTAATGTCTATGAAAGCGAATATCTTTGCCATACATAACAGAAAGAAGAGATCATTTTAGAGAAACGAACAAGTGATATGTGTAAATTAGTAGAAGTATTATTATTAATTGCACTACTGACCAGCGTTGGACCAGGGCAATAAATCTAGGCAACAACATGATGACGATGAAGATGTGGATTCTTCTTCCTCCTCCTCCTCCTGCTGCTGCTGGGGCGCCTTACAGCTACTCCTTGTCGTTGGAGGCAACGAAGACAATGTGTACAAGTTGATTTGCCCCCAAAAAAAGAATCAAAAACAACGACGACAAAAAAAACTTAAATGGCACCACCGAACAACCACCCTTTCAGGGGTTACGTTTTTACGACTTTTTTGCTTTCTTGTTTACAATGTTACGAGTTTGGCAGGCAAATGATGACGTTATGTTATTGTTGGCTGTATGTTGACGCTGCTTCTGCTGCTGTTGACGTTAATGGCAATGCTGCTGTCATTACTTGCTATTGACGCTACGTTATTTTGCATTTTCCATCAGGTCATTAAGATTAGTAATGAAGTTGTAACAAAGCGCGAATTGGACGGCTGGGGGGTTTTAAACTGCTAATGACCCAGCAGAAAAACTAAAGCTAAGCTAAAACAAAACACAAAATAATAAAATATTTTTTTTTTGTTTCTTTCAAAATTGGAAAACAAAACTATAGACTAGTCATCAATAAAAATATTTCTATTCCAAACAAAGCCAGTCAAAAACAAAGACAAGCTTTTTTCGCAAAAAAAATTAAACAATCTTGTGTTTTTGCACTGCAAGCCAAATTCTGTTATGTTATTGTTGTTATCCGTTCGTTGTCGCTGGTCGTTATGTTGTTGTCACTCACTCACTCTGATGTACTGTGTGTGTTGTTGTTGCTGCAGTCGTTACTTGTGCATATATTATTAATTCCAATAAATTAACTAACTTTAATTGAATTTAATTGCACATTTATTTTTTATTTCTTTTCGTTCAACTTTGGGCCTTTTATCACTTTCCGTTTTTCTTTCTTTCTGTTCCAGCTCTATTCTGTTGTTTTTGCACTTTTTACTCAATTTTCTTCCTTGTCTTCGTTTCTTTTATTCAATTTTTTCTCGTTTCGTTTCATTTCAGTTTTATACGCACCTTATTTTTTTACTCTTTTGCTTCTGGTTTCTATATAAAATTTTCTTTAGTTGCAATTGCAAAATAACTCGAGAGTCGTTTTCTTATGAATTTTCATTTGATTTTTCTTTCCATTAAGTTATTAAATGTGTCGTTGAATTTTCGTAATATCGATTCACTTAATTCTTTTCAATATTTTTGTATAATACAAGGAAAAAATTTTAGTTTTCTTCGTTCACCAGACAATGGAGCCGAACCAAAAAGCACCGTGGAGCCGTTGAAACAGCTGGTAGTGATGTGATCTCCCAGCCGCTGACTTATTGCCAACCAACGGCGACGCTAATAAATCACTTCAATCACTAAAAACTGATAGCAAGCTAACCACTTAAAAAATGATGCACAACCAAAAAAATAATATCAAGGGTTGGATTATTCTTCTATGAAGATGAAGGATGATTTTTAGTAATTACCTTTTGGGCAAAAAAGAGTTTCTTCTTTTGTTTGATTGTCAAAAATCTTTACTTTGGTCTATAATTCAACTATGAATAGTTTTACAAATGAACAACGCTTGCAAATCATTGAATTTTATTATCAAAATGCGTGCTCATCGCGCGACCAAGCTCATACAGCAAAAGCTACCAGCTTCCATCCAAAAAGTTACTGTTTATTGGTTGGTGGCACGGGTCAATAAGAAAGGCTACTAAACTTCAAAAAAACTAGCAAAATGCTGCCCTGTAATGGAGTTTTATAGTGTCAAAAATACTTTTAAATATGCAACAGTTGGTTTTGCTTAATTTTTACAATATTCTTATATTGGGAAAACCCGCGAAACAAGAATGGTATTTTGGGAATATTCCAAATGATTGAATCTAAAATAATAGGACAATACAGATCTATCCCAAAATTGTACAATGTGTTTTCCATTAACGTCGCCATTTATTTTGCAACAGAATTTTAAATTATTGAATTTTTTATTCAAAACAATACACATACACATAATGTGTATACAGGGCGAGATAAAAAAAACTTTAACCAACTTCGGACTGCTGTCATTTCTAAGCCACTCGTCCGACAGCTGTTAAAATTATTCCAGTGACAGCTCATAATATGGTTTACAGGCGTACAAAAGCATTTTGGTGAGAATGTCTAGAAAAAAGTTATTCGTGATGGAATTCAAGCGTGATAGTGTGATTTCTTTATATTTGGCGGGAAAACCACAAGTGGCTATCGTTAGAGCACTTCAGCATTTAAATGTGCATAAATCGCTTGTGTCTCGTACCATCGCTCGTTACCGTGATACTGGTAGCGCAGACCGAAAAACAAAATGATCGTGTTTACTTGCCTAAGAGGTCAGCTGAAAATGTGCACCTTTCGATTGGCCACCAGAACTCAAGCGCCGGCCATGGTGATGGTGTGGGCAGCCATAACAGCCGATGGTCGCTCTCCGCTCGTATTTATGACCGTGGCATCAGAATAAATGCCGAATATTATCGTGCAAATATTCTGGGGGTGTATTAAAGCCTTGGGCACGCAAACATTTAGTCTCAATGGAATGACTTTACCTTCTTAATTTTACCACGGTTAGGACTAGCCGAAAACAAATAGTTAAGGGAATACTTTTCAACTAAGAAGTTCAACAAGTTGATAATTTTTTTACTTAAGAGAAGGGAACTAAAGGGCTAAGTACATAAGAAGCTTGAAGTCATGGCTAGGCATATTTTGTGACATTTCACAAAGACATTAATATGCCTAGCCATGACTTCAAGCTTTCTATGTACTTGCACCCTAACTTGTCAAGTAAACCCCAAATAATCTTTTCGCGCCTAAGTCAAAGATATTGGAACATGTCTAATATTTCGATAACTTTAAAACATATGGTCAAAAAGGCTTGCCAAATTGCAACAAATAAAGCACTAGATTTTTAAGATTTATTTATTTTTTACGTAAACAAAACATTATTTTGTTATTTTTATTACTAATTACCGCAACTTGGAATGAATTAAGTTACAAAGATTATTTTTTTAGTATAAAAAAATTAAAATGTTAAAAGCCGCTCTGTTAAATAGTGCAAAGGTAAATACACATGCTATATGATTATAATACAAAATTATTAGGTATTTAATATATTGTTTCAGCGTATGCTTTCTACCAAAATAACACCGCATCAAGAAGCGCTCATGGCGAGGGGCTTACCAAAAAAACAACCCCTGCCGGGTGTTGCAAATATTGTAGTTGTTGCATCTGGTAAAGGTGGGGTAGGTAAATCCACAGTTGCCGTCAATTTAGCAGTTTCACTGGCTAACATTGGCAAGCGTGTCGGTTTGCTAGATGGCGATATTTTTGGTCCATCTATACCACTGATGATGAATGTACACGAAGAGCCTTTGGTAGATGATAAAAATCTAATAATACCTCCCGTTAATTATGGTGTTAAATGTCTGTCGATGGGTATGCTAACCCAGCATGGTGATGCTGTAATATGGAGAGGGCCTCTGGTAATGTCTGCATTACAGCGGCTATTAAAAGGAGCCCTGTGGGGTCCCTTGGATGTATTAATAGTGGATACGCCACCCGGCACAGGAGATGTCCACTTATCATTGGCACAAAATGTACCAATTTCAGGAGTACTTTTAGTAAGTACTCCCCAGACGGCGGCACTTGAAGTTACTCAAAGAGGTGCGCAAATGTACAAAACATTGGGCATTCCAATTTTTGGTCTAGCCGAAAACATGGGACATGCAATTTGTGGTAATTGTCAACATAAACTTGAAATATTTAAAAATACCACACAGAAATTTACCAAAGACATGAACATTGAATTGCTAGCTACTATACCACTGGATGGTAACATAACAGATTGTTGTGATAACGGCATTCCAATGGTTCTTAAATACAAGGATAGCGAATATGCCAAAAGTTTTAAATCGTTGGCTTTGAATATCCTCAACAATTTTGAAGGCTCCAAACAACAAGAAAAAACGTAGAAATATTTTCTGAATAAAGCAAAAATTATTTATTTTTCTTAAGCTTTTTCATTTTTTTCATGGCTTTACGTTGGGCGTACTTTTGTTTCATCATTACGATTTCCTTATTTTTACGTTTTATGTACTTTTGGGCCTCTGTATCCGCCAGCAATTCATCCACCAATGTATGTTTCTTATTCTTGCGTACATCTCGCTCGCTATAGTAATCTAAAGCAGAATGTTGCACGGTACCAATCTGTAAGGGGATATAAATTAATACAAATATTTAATGTATAGAAAGCAGCATAGCAAATACATACCTGGAAATATTTCGGCAAAACTTTCAGATCATTCTTTTTATAGAAATGTTTGGGATCCAGTACAGAACGCATTTGTAAAATTTTCAAATCATTTTGAATTTCTTCTGTTACTTCTGTCGCAGGCATATCGAACCATTTCTTGCCCTTGGTTTTTGAGCGTTCGATCTATAGGAGAAAAAAAGTAATCTTTTTTAGATCACATCGAACAAAAAACTAATCTTTCATGTTTAAATGTCTAGTCAGATTACTAAAGATGTCATCAATATTGGCAATGAACAATATCTAAACGTTTTACATCGCTATTGTGTGTTAAGGGCATGGAAATGTTGCTGTTTCATTATAAATATTTATGTCAGCATCAAAATAAATTGTTAATTTGTCAACTATTCAATAACAATAGTCTATTGACGCTGTGATTATTTTAAATGTACCGCTAGCCTTACAGCAATTGCTTAAAACTTGAACAACAATTACTAAGATTATAACGGCCGAAACATATTGCACAACATGATCCATCCCAATGAGAGTCTGGGATGTTGAAACGTCTCAAACAATATTGTTCATGCAACAAAACCAATTCCTTGGGAAAAGGCTTATGATGTCGAATATGTCATCACATTAAACATAAATGATCGAGATTTTTTTGATTTCACAGCAACCCACCCTGTTCAAAATTCTTTGTTTTTTCTCACTTCTGCTTGGCAGTTCTTTAAGTTGTTCTAAATTAGGCACCATTTCGGATTTGGCAATTTCTTTTTGAATGTCAGTTTTGAAGATTTGTGATTCATCGCGCTTTCCTGTAAATTCATTGAAATCGGAGTGGTCCAAGTCTATCATTTTCTTTAATTTCGGCTTGGGTTCTTTCTTTTTGCGTTCCGCTTCGTCAGACATGGAAATAACATGATCCATTTCCAGTTCTACTTGAGTGGGTTTTCTGCGGCTCACCGATAAGGTATTCTCAATTATGGAGGAAATGTCCACGCTAGGATGTGGTAGACCTATGAGAAAAAAATAGATTTTAACAAAAAAATTAATAAATAATTTTGAAAACTCTTACCAAAGAAGTCATATTGTTCCTTTTCACCATCACTCTCCTCATTTTTCAACTCTGCCGCAAATGAACTTAAGCTTGAAGTTTCCTTTTCACTTATGACCTGACGCTGCTTTTTGTTAATTTTTGGCGCGGTCAAGGAGTCTGTTTTCAGCAGATCCTGATTTCCCGATGTGTCAAATACAAATAAAGACATTTTGCTTCGTATGAATGCCCAGGGAAAAGAAAAATAAAAACAATGAAACTCTACTACAATGACATGTGCTAATTCGATAACAATGGATTTCGATAACTGTACATTGTAATCGTTAATGTTTGCAATGGGAGTTTCATTAATGCTGGCGTATGGCAATTGTAAACCGAACAGACAATTGTTACCAAATGTCGATGGTTGTGTTCATATTGTAGAGCAAAAGTGTGTCTGCTGCACAATATTGTCCAGCAACTTCTTTATGAGAGAGTAAGGTACTTTCATTATCTTTTGCAAGAAAACTGTGAGACTTTATCCGGAGTGCAAAAACGGAGAATCAGAAATTATTACCCGAAATCGTCTGTTAACCCGAAAGTTCTTCAAAAGAGAGCGGCCGGAGAGAGCAATTTTGATAGTTCTTTCAGTGAGAGTTTCCAAATTCTTGCTGGACAAATTATTTTTTTATTTTATTTCTAATTTTCTTTTTATTTATAAAAATTATAAATTTGGTGGTGCTTCCTTTCTTTTAATTATTTTAATGGGGGCAAATTGGTTTGTTTTGACAAAACACCTGATTGGTTGCAAGCTTCTGTAGGAATGCCATCTGTTTACTTTTCTCATTTTCCTTGTAAAGAGAATAAAACCACCTTATTCTCCCATAAAGATGTTGCTGTACCATTCGTCCGATTTTTGTGTTTAATAGAGCGTTAGTTCAAAATTTTTTTTCCGGATTAACCAGCATTATCAGGATTTACTGCTTAATCGGGATTTATGAAATCATATTTACCATTCAAATATAGATCTTATCACGACCGGATTTATCTTAAGTCCGAACCATAAACTTAAATTTTTTTGCTCATGGTAATACATTGGATGATTCATTATTCAGATGTTCACCAATGTAAATAAGCACTTATTTTTCAACCTCAATTGCCACTATATTAGGTTTTTGATACAAAATGTTTGACAATTTTTTACATTCCCTCTTGCTTGTGTTTGTATACGTAAACAAACATCAGCTGAGCGGCATGTATATCCTCCTAAAGGTGTATCTAAACATACAAGATAAACGACTAGGTCCAATAATCTTTAATAGTATAAATGCGCTATAATGGTAAAAAAAATAAAGGGAGACTATCAACCTATTTATTTTGGTACCAGATTTCCATTGCTACCACTAGCACCATCTGTTTAATATAATTCAAACCATGCCATTAAGAGCCCGAAAGAGAATGTGTCGTTCGTTCTCTCTATTTATGACATCTGATATCAATTTACTATGAGTGTCAATGTATGTTGTGTCAATTTTAACAAGAAATGACATTTGTTGAGGAAAATGAAAACGTGCTGGAGTGTCGTTAAATCACACGTTTACAATATAAGAAAAAATAAACATTTATTTATAAAATAATCCCAAAAAGAGCAATAAAGCTTAAGACGGCGTTGCCGAAAATAAAGTTGTTAAAAGGTTGCCGTTATATGTGAAGAATTGGAGTTTTTCCCCTCTGAATTGGTTGAACTGCGTAATTTTCCGGAAGAGCAGGGGAGGTGTCAAAAGAACTTACCTCCACAAGATAAAAATTGTGTGTGTGAGTGGGAAAGAAGGAGTTGTTGGTTGAATATTTTTGTGAAATTTGTTCGCTAATCATAAAGCTTACAGCTTTTTGAAAATATTTCGAAAAGTTGTTTAATAACCGTCGGCTTTACAATGGCTTTCAACTCAAATATGTCTGTTATAACCTCACGAACATCCTTGTCTTCAATATTGAAGACATATTCGCCGGCTGAAAGGGAAAAAACCAAAGCGAATATAATGAATAAAGTTCGCTTTGAAATGCCAAAACAAAAAGGCATCCTGGAAGTGGTAAAGGCCGTTGAAGAAAGACAACATTTTGAAGCGATGAATGAATTTGTGGCCTTTTTGACGGAAAACAATCTTGATGTAAGTAATAAACTTTAAATGTATAAAACTTACTCTGGGTAGTTAATGTCGTTTTTTAATTCTATGTTATGTATTATGGTTCACTACATCTACATCAGTAAAATCACAGTTTTAATTTCATTTAATTAAAAACAAGTAAAAAGAATGGATACTCGAGAATCACAAAATTTTATCTTGATGACCTTCTTTCAAATTGAATTAATTTTTTTATATTTCTCTGCCACTCCATCATAGGTGTAGGTAGGTTTTTATAGGTTTTTTTTCTATAAAAATCTTAGCATTCTTGGACAAAATTGATTCACATATTTTTTTCTTTTTTCAGGACACTGAATTCATATCAATATTCACTGATGCTCGCTCCATTGTTAATCAACTAAGTCCAAAATTTACCCTTCTTGTCGAAGCTTTACTCTCACAGAATTGGACAATTCGATCTCTGGAGGCACGTAAAGCATATTGTGAATTTTGCCTTGATATACTGGTAGCTCATAATAAATATCTACAATTTGGTATAAATAAACTAATCAATCTTTGGATACCACAAGAAAACGATATAGGCCAATGGCTAAATGGAAAACCCAGCGCCGAGTTGGACAATGGATTGCAGGCAATTCATCAGTTGTTGGAACGTATTTTAAATGCTATACCCATGGCATTTGATGCCACCTTGGATGCAATTGAACATTCATTTCCCTATTATAAGAAAGCTACACATATTGTTGTGGGTTATGTTCACAATATATTGGAGTTATTGAAATATAAACCAATATTTGGTGAATATGTCATACAGTTGCTAATGCAAAAGTAAGTTTCGAAAAAATGTATAAAATTTAGAAATATTAAGGAAAATTTATTTTTAAATTCAGTTTAATCATCTTGGATGTCCATGCTCCCCGTGCGGCCATAGAAGAACTGGAAAGTGATGATGAAGATGACGATGATGGCGAAGACAATGAACCAGAAATGTTTGAAATGGACGAATGCGAAAAAAGTAAGCAAAATATCTATTGAATTTCACATGATGCTTTCATTAAATAGCTATCATTTCTATTTTAGAACCAGATATTGACCGACCCATGAATCATCCCATTGCCCATACACTGGATATTTGCATGATGAAAATATTTGAATTTTTGGATTTGAAAAATCCACAAATTTTTCAACAAAACGAAATGGAACGCCAACAAAAGACAGTAGAATCTATAAAATTTTTACGTTTGCTTATAAAAGCTTTCGACAACGTTATATTGCCCATACACAACACCCATCATGCCCAGTTTATATTGTTTTATTTTTGCAGTTTGAAGGTATGTGATGTGATTTTTGTTCATTAAGTTAAATTTCATTTAATAATTTCTTTCAAATTTCCAGCAATGCCTGGGGGAGCAGTTCTTAACATCTTTATGGGATAAAATTAAAAATCCCAATTGCTCGGCCGTCATAAGACAAGCATCTGTGGGTTATATGGCCAGTTTTTTGGCCCGTTCAAAATATATTAACATCAAGTAAGTTTATTGGTTTATGTGATTAAAATCCCATGCTAATCTATCGATTTTGTTTTTAACAGCATCCTAAAACATTATCTCAAAGAATTGTGTTCGTGGGCTCATAAATATATACGTGATTGTGATCAGTATCGTTCCAATGGTTCCTTAAAGGCAAACATTGTATTTTTCTCTGTTTGCCAGGCTATATTCTATGTGATAGCTTTTCGTTCACGCGATTTAACTGTCGATAAAAAGAGTAAGTTTGATGCATTTTATTGTTGCAGATATCTTAAACGCATGTCTTTGTTTTAGGTTTATTATTTTTACAAAGTTTACATTTGTCCGCCTTGGTCACATGTAATTTCAATCCATTGCGTGTGTGTTTACCGGCCGTGGCAACAGCCTTTGCTGGTGTGACTAGGGCCTATCAATTGGCATATTGCCATGCAATTCTAGAGCGTAATGCCCGCCGCAAATTGGCTACGGTTTATGCAAATGATACAGCCACACCGGAAGAGACATTGGATACATTCTTCCCCTTTGATCCGTATCTATTAAAATTGTAAGTTTTGGTAGTAAGCAAAAATGAATTACAACTTTGATGTCATACCTTCAACATTTCCTTCCATTTTCCTCTAATTTGCTTCACAGGTCTGGCCAACGTATTACCCCCATTTATTTGGTTTATCAAGCCAGTGAAGCCGAAGAACATATTGCCGCAGAAAATATTTCATCAAACGCAGCTGCGGCCAAGTCAAGAAAACGTGGTGATTCCGAAATGTTGGACGATCATGAAGTTGATGATTTCATTCTAAGCGATAAGCGACAAAGACTAACAAGTTTCTCAAAGAATCCTGAGCGAGAAAATCAATTTACATATGGTCTGTCACCAGGATTCCATATATAGAACAAGTATACAGTATAATTTATACGGCATGAAAATCAAAAATTGTAGATATTTACCTAAAATTGTAGCATATATAGGTAATGTAGATATTGTAGTGCTTCAAAAAGAAAATGTAGCTCTTTTATTTATGATTTTTATGAGAATTATTTTTATTATTTTTTAACATAACAAAAAAAAAAAACAAATGAAAAAAAGCAAGCATAAAAATAAACAAATGAATATACAAGTTTTTTATGTTTGATAAAACAAAACAAATGATATAAAATTAAAGAAATGAATTCAATAAAAAAATAAAATAATTTATAAACTATGTTGTTTTGCCTTTTGATGTGCCACAAGATGGCCTGAAGTACGAAACGTTTGATTGCATAAATCAAAGTCGCACTTGAAAGGTCTTTCATTCGTATGCAAGCGTATATGTACATTAAGGGATTTCTTATTTGCATACAATTTACCACACACTTGACACTTTACCTTGGTCACCTCTCGCCCCCCCTCTTCATGACGTTTGAACATGTGCTGCCTTAAAGATTGTGCTGATTTCAAGCCTTTTTGGCAAAGCTCACATTTGTATGGCAACAGCGTACTGTGAGTTAGAATGTGTTTTTTTAATTGAGATTTATATTGGAACATTTTGCAACAAATTGTACAACTATATAGCATTTGTTTTTCCTTTTGTAGGTCCAGTGATTTGTTGGAGTTTAGATTTTTTACTGGCATTTTTATTTCACTTACAACAATTTCAGATTCATTCGTATGTATAATGGCTTGCACCGACCGTGTCCTATTCAGCTGTTTCTGTTCATTTGATTCAATCAGTTGTTTAAGATGTGTCATCATGTGTTTACGGCAATACTGTTTAGTTTTGAATTGTTTATCACAATAGCGACATTTGAAATTCTTTTCCTTACAATGGGCTGTTAGTTGGTGACGTTTTAAATCATAGCTTCTGCGAAATGTAAGGCTACACTGGTTACAGTTAAACTTTCGAAAGCTTGAATGAATTCTGGCATGAATTCTTAAAGATAATTCGGATGCATAGAATCTGTTTATGGAAAAAGAGATGAGAGAATATAAATATTAAATTCCAGAAAACAACTTACCTTTTACATATGCGACAACAATGTTTCGATAAATTTCTATGGCGTTGCTCATGCTGTTTTAATGACAGTAAATTGTCCATTTGTAAGCCACAAATTAAGCATTTAAATGCTGGCTTTAGTTTCTCTTGCAATAAGTATTCTGATGTTGTGCCATTTAAAAGACATAGTGGTTCGGGCAACAGTGTTTTAAGCATATTCAACTCAGGATCATTTTCCTCGTGGCTGTGTTTCAAATACTTATTTAATGAATCAAATGTTTTAGGACATTTTTGACAGCTAAACACGATCACAGACTCTGGAGCATGGAAACTACAAAATTATAAAAATATATATGTATTAATATTTATCATTGGATTTGCCATAATATTACCTTAAATGTTTATCGAATTGGGCAATGGTGGCAAATTGTTTACAACACTGGGGACATTTATACAATTTTTGTTTGCCCTCCTGGCTATGGGTCACACAATGACGTTTCAATTCGGTCTGTGTGGAAAATGATTTTTTACACACAACACAAATATATGGGCGATACTTTGTGTGTACGCGACGATGTCTGTTCGCAAGGGAAGAAAATAAAAACTATGAAAAACAAAACACAGAGACATACAACTCTTACCTTAAATAACCATTACCCTTGCGAAATTCTTTGCCACAAAATTCACAAATATAATAGAAATATTTGTCTCTTTTGATTCTCTGTACTTTGTACATTGCCACCACAATCCTCTGGGGATTAAGGCGATCCTTAATTATAACATGATCAACAAAAGCCTCATCAATTTCGGTATTTGTTTGCAGTGTTGTTCCATTGTCGCCATCAGTTATTGAAAGGGCACTGTGTAATTGCTTTAGCTCATTTAGAACATTATCCGCCAAAATTTGTGGATCATTATCCAGTGGTTCTAACTCTTCTGCTTGAGATTCTGACACCTCATTGGGGCGCTTATCTTTCTTGTGTGTGGAAAGTATATGCTTAATCAGAGCAGCCTCTATTTTATATTTACGTGGACAATGTGGACATTTTATGACATTACCAATTTTTACGAAGTTGGCAAAGTGGATCTTTTTCTGATGATTTCGTAGATTAAATGGAGTCGAGAAACTGTAATGAAAGTTTTCCATGTTTTACAAGGATTTTAAGGATACATTTTAAATAATCAGAATACAAGATTTTAATCCTTACAATTTGATTTTGTTTTGTCGATCATTTAAGCTATATTTTTGAAACGGCTGGAACATATCATCTCTAAAATGAATCGTTATTGGTCTTCTTAGGAGGAAGTTAAATGACCTTGTTCGTCTGCGATCTATTCAATGAACTCAATTTTTTTATAAACAATTTCTGTTGACTAGAATGCAGACCAACTCGTTAGTCAAAGTTAAAGGGCCGGCTACAGCCCATTAAAGTAGCCGAATTATTGAGCCTGGAGATAGAACCAGATTAGCAGAACCCAAACATAGCAGGTAAAACTATTACAACAACAGAAAAGACTACTTTCCCAAACCAATTGGAAAAGTCGAACCATTGGAAATAACAAGTAAAGTAGTATCAGTCGATTTTGCCGACAGATGTATACCTCCAACCTTGAGTTATGCTAATTCAAACTGTTGACCCTTTATGGGGGAGGTTCCGAAGCATTCGTACAATATTGACCAATTCGTATCTGACCTCAGGGGTTCTTCACAAGAGATATTACGTTAGCGGATGTGTGAAATTTGAAGAGAGATGGATGCTTATATCGCTTTCTTTGAGCGTTTTGTTTTTCGATAATCTGGAAGTCTATTTGGGGAGGTATCAGAAGAATTGGTCCTATCTCTACCATCTTTATAACAGATCTTGTGTTGATGGAAATATTGAGATGTACCAAATCTGAATGGAATCGGATGTTAATTTCGCGTCTTGTGAGCTTCATGGATACTCAAATGTTGTTGTTTGTGGGGAAGATACCAGTAGGAGTGGACCGATATCTTTCATCTTAACACCAGACCTTTGGTTAATAATAATATTGGGATGTGTGAAATTTGAAGATAATAGGACTCTTAAATCACATTTTACAAAAGTTATAATTATTTAAAATTTTGACCCTTTGTGAGGGAGATACTTGATGGAGTGGATCGATATTGTCCATTTTCGCACCTGACCTAGTACTGATGTGCAAAAATGATGTACAAAATGAATAGGATTATCCCATTTCTTCCTGTGCAGAAAATTTTTTTCTTTAAAATTTTCGACTTCTTGTGTGGGAGGTACCAGAAGGAGTGGACCGATATTGCCCATCTCTGAACTCAATCTATGTTTGACAATAATATTACGAAGTACCAAGTTTGAATCAAATCGGATAATCCCTTCGAGTTATGGTGCGCACCAGCCAGCCAGACGGACGGACGAACGGACATCGCTAGAACGACTCCAAATTCCCTGAAATGGATATGTTTCAAAGAGACCTAGGGTCTAAAATCGTTATTTCAATGAGGCATGTTTTGGCCGTATCAAATGATATATAGCCTCTTTAGCCATATGGCTGAGGGTATAAAACTTACTCTAAGTCGCATAGATCACACTCAAATCTTTGCTGTTGTTCGTGTTGCTGCTTAACATGACGATTGCGGGAAGACAAATGGGTAAACTTTTTATTGCAAATTGGACACTGAAATCAGAATGGAAAAACATTAAAAGATCTCTCAAACTTTAAAACTTTACGCTACACATACTGTAAGCGATTCCGAGCTTTTTCCTTTCACCTTCGATTCCTCTCTCTGTGGTGTGTTCTGCGACAGGTTTTTGCTGCTGGGAAACTGAAATAGGATATTCTAATAAAAATTCCACAGATAATCCGTTTGCAAAACTTACAATTAGAAATTCATCCAACTGGAATGAATCATTTGATGCAGTTTCTTCCGACATGTCATCATCATCGATATTGCTAAGATATTTCAGACGATGCTCTTGATAATGTCTGCACAAATCTTGGGCATCACTGATAACAATGTTACAAATAACACAGATTTTTGGTGGTAATTGTTCAATACTCAATATTTCTATGTGCACCATTTCATCATTTTTCCTTAAAAAAATGTCGTCTATTTAATCGTCCTCTATCGCAGTCTTCATTACGATTTCTATACTTGAGGCTATTGCTTTTCTCTTTCAACTTTTCATATTAATTTGGCCGTGCTGATCATATTCATCGACAAAATCTTAATCATGAGTTTTTATGTTCTCCAAAGAAGGCACCAATGCCAATGGTTGGGCTTTGTGTTAGATGACGACCACGAAGAAGTTCTCTCCTCAAGTATTTGTCTTTGCCATTGAGTTATTACAATGTACAGTACAGATTAGATCAAGTTTGATCGCAAATTTTACAGTTACAGTACCAAGAGTACCACTATCTAATCACTCACTGCTTTCCAATATAGTCAATATAATTCCGTCCAACCAATGAGTCCAATTCCAATAGTTTTCATGCGAATGCGATCGTCTGTAACTTAAATAAAAGAGTTCCACATCGAAACAAATAAGGAGGCAAAAAAGGAATGCCCGATAAAAATGAATAAAAAACAAAATTCCCGACAACAACAGAGGCAGTTTACGAATGAGACATGAAAATAACGCAATCAGCTGGATGAATTTCATTCATTGAACACAGTGGCGGCATTACTTTAATTTAACGGCGATGGTAAAGTGATCAGACTGCTGATACAGACAATGAACTGAAAGCAGTATAAAAGTAACGATGGATATTTGAACATTTATATTTTAAACATTAGAAAGTAAAACTGTTAAAAAAGCATAGACATATGAAAATATAGACGAAGGAATGCTATCACCGCTTATCATCGAACTTTTAATCCGAACTTTTAATACCCTCCACCTTTGGATAAAAGAAGCATTTTTATATAAACATATCTGAATTAAAGCGTGTTCCACTTTAAACCATAAAGTGGGTGAGGCCGTTGTATGGGGCCCATACCAAAACGGGAACCCCTATAGACAATGTTATACTTCAGGGATTGTCATCTACCAAATCTTTTTATCAAAATGCCGAATATCGGTGGGTGTCGTTATATGTGCACTTTCGGAAACCTGGAACTAAATATTTAATGTTCTGCCGCCGGGCTAGAACCCATTATGAACTACAAATACCAATTTTTAGACAAAACGAGGAAAAATGTGACAAAAATCATCAAAATGCCGAATATCGGCAGGTGCCGTTATATGGGGGCTATACTAAAACGTGAACCTATACATACAATGTTTCGCCACACGAGCTAGAACCAATTACGAACAACAAATACAAATTTTTAAACAAATCCGTGGAAAATTGTGGCTGAACCCATCAAATGGAATATAGAGAGGCACTTTATATGGGGGCTATTCGAAAACGTGGACCAATTACGAACGACAACTTCCATTTTTTAGACAAATCAGTGGAAAAATGTGGCTAAACCCATCAAAATTCTAAGTATCGGGAAGTACCACTATATGGGAGCTAAACGAATGCATGGACCTATATGTGCAATGTTCCGCTACCGGAGCTGGAACATATTACGAACTACAAATTCCATCCTAGACACAATTCAAATTGTTGGCATCGTTAAATCGACTTAGAATTTTGTGGTGATCACGAATATTTACGGACGTTACAAACGGTGTGACAAGGTTAATATACCCTCCTTTAGAGGTGGCGGGTAAAAAGTATCCGATAGTTGGAAGTTAAGAATCTCTGATGGCAGGCTACTTCTGATTGCTCAAGTTGTTTGCATTTTCCAGAGCACATGCATAGTGCACAGACCTTCAAAAGGAACAGTAAGTCAAGGGATAAAGATTTATAGTTCCTTTTGACGATCTCAATAGAATCACATTTTGAATCGATTTATGCATGGCCGTCCGTCCATCTATCCTATTTTTCTCAACAAAATACAGATGCGACCAGATGACCGGCTTAAGTCTAGTGTAGTAAAACTCTCAGATTTTGGGGAAGTATTTTATCCTGGGGCAAAATATAGATATAATTTGAAAGCTAGAAACGGTTTGGGAGTTATATCAAACCTATAGATATTTTTAAAGCGGTTTTTTTAAAAACTACTCCCAAAGTCAAAAAATGTCTAATTTTAGAGTCAACGAAATTACAGTTGACAGTATGACCATGCAACAATATATGTTATTATATTTCCTGGATCCTGGTGTTGGACATAACCAGAGGAGAAATCTCAAGGCCCATCCAAAGGCCGGTTACTTAAACATAATACCAAATTTAGAAAAACTCTTGTTCGCCTAGCCGGTGTTGGAGAACATTTCAAGCTCAAAACTTAAAAAAAAGTATACTACTACTAGAACAACATCACAATTAGGAAAATCTTGGTTCCAGGTTCAAAGACCCATAGCTCTGGATCCAGGAATGATAAGAAACACATGTTTTTTTTTGCATTTTGTATAGTTTGGAGTGTTAGCTAGAATTAACTATGTATTTAAGGACGCTCATAAAGGGCTCCTATTTGACTTTGGAAGTATATAAAAAATTCGAGTTCACAAAATCTATAATTTATTTAACCACTTGTTACTTATGTAGTTTCAAATGCTCAACCGGGAACCGGATATTTGACCCGAATATCGTCCCCCAAGAAAAAATGCCTTCCCCAAATCAGGGTATACCTACCTCTGTAAAAAATTTCAAATCAAAGCCGAGAGTTTTTACCAAACTAGAGTTAATGTTTACCGAATGTTGTCTCTGTAGCCTTAATTGCAACGATATACATTTTTTGGAAGCAGCTACAAACTTTACAGAAAGTTGGAAGCCTAACCAAAGATATTTCAACGTTCATATAATTGGGTAAAATGTTACCGTTTAATCAGGACTTCAAGGGCGGCATAAAATAAAAATAATAAATTCTTGGGTCAATTTGAAGTTTTGAGATGAAAATAGCGAAGAGGTTCTATAATTTTGGATATTATCTATGGCCCAGGGCTCTGCTTTCCAATAAAGTTTATAAAGCTTTAAATTCTGATTAAATGTTGTAACTGATTGATAAAAAGAGGTGTCCTTGAATTGAAGGCTTAATTTAATTTTTTCGAAATTTTTATTATTATTTTTACCCTGGACCCGGGAAACTATTTTTTTCTTGGGGGGGACGGACCTGGGACCCCAGATTTTTGACCCGAAAGTCCGGGTTCAAGACCCCGACTAGACCCGGATTCAATTACCCGATATAGACAATATAGATATCGTTGGAAAGCTTGTGAAAATACCTATACCTATGTGGTCAGGCCGGCCGGCTATTTACAAAATGTGTCAAATTTAGAAAACTTTGGTTCGCGTTAGCCGGTGTGGGACACACCCAGAGTAGAAAATCTAAAGTCCCAACCGAAGGCCTCCTATTTACAAAAAGTGCCAAATTTAGAAAACTTTTGTTATTCCAACGACTACTACGCGAAATAAACCGTTTTTTATTGAAAACATCATTTTAATGAACTGGTTAGAATCGGGTTATGCGGATGGTAAGACCCATATCTCTGGACCCGAAAAAGGTATTAGCACAAATTGTAGCATTTTGGAAAGGTAAGAGTATCCGCTATAATTTGGAATTTTTTTTTGACATTTTGGGGGTTTCATAAAAACTCCGGGTCCAGAAAATCGATAATTTGACTATAACTTCCGGACCACTTGTTGGATAGTTATTTCCATAAGCATTCAATCAATACCCATATTGTCTATATCGGGTAAGTGGATCCGGGTCCAGACGGGGTCTTGATCCCGGACTTTTGGGTCAAAAATCTGGGGTCCCGGGTCCGTCCCCCAAGAAAAAATAGTTTCGTGGGATCAGGGTAAAAATACCTACCTCTGAAAATCGAAGAGTTTTTACTAAACTAGAGTTGTTCCAACATTCCAATAAGAGCTACGAGTCCTCGCACAATTGTAATTGTTTGTTGTTAAATTTGCAATCACCATCCTCAAACTGTCAATTATATTATGATTCTAGTAATTTTAGCTTGATTATCCCCACAAATACCCATTATAATTGGTTATTTGGGCATATCTGCAGTAATTTTCAAATACTAATTCAAATTTAAAATTCACTCAATTTTTGCTGGCTTAATCCTGCACACCATTCAATGATGTTTTCTTTCGCCCATGCATTCTTTATACCACCACTTGTTTACTTAACAAAATCCAAAAGGCAAATTTTTGTTTGGTGTAGAATTATTTTCCATTTTCACTTTTTTCAGGTTCTTGTTTTTATTTCTTTTGTAATAATTTTACAAGATAATTTTCATAGAAAAGCATCTCTGACCATCTACAACAGCAGCATGTATAAAACTAAACAAACTTCCTATATTATTCCAGCTCAGATATGTTAAACATAACTTAAGCAATGAATTCATAAGGAATGGGAGCCAATAGGATGGGTTCCTCGATTTGTTTAACGAAGTGAGCCTTCTTGGGTTGTTCGGGTTGGCGTTTCAAGTTGACCCAGGTACCCTTGGCCTTGGCTTCCTTCAACAAACGTTCGTTTTCCTTGACGCGACGCAAGAAATCTTCACGGCACTTGGAGTGGTGGACATGTTCAATGCGGACATTGATGCGCTTGGGTAGGATCTTTCCGCGGACACGCTTGTTTACAATAACACCAACAGCATGGGGGGTGACATTGTAGATGCGGCCAGTCTTACCATGGTAGGCCTTGTAGGGCATACCCTTTTGGACGGCACCATGACCCTTGATGTCAACAATATCGCCGATTTTGAAGACACGCATGTAGGTGGACAAGGGGATGACACCATGCTTGCGGAAGGGGCGAGAGAACATGTCTCTGGTGCCGCGACGATAACCCTTGGAGTTAGTCATGTTGTTGTTGTGTGTAGTTCTCTACATAAAAGGGGAACACAAGTAAAAAAACAAGGAAATTCATTAAAATTTCATTCATTTCACATAAAACACATTGTCACTAAACATATACAACACTAATTCATTTGTATTGTTTTGATTATTGTATAAATTTAGCGAAATTTTGATAAAAATCACTAACCTTTTAGAAAATACCGTCCACGCGGTCTTATATTCAGAGAAAAAGAACTCGAAAAAAGGAAGATGGCGACGGCAGAGAATTGCCAGTTTGGAATTTTCTTATTCTTGACAGTTCTCTCAATTGGGGGATTAGTTGTAACGTAACGTATCGTTGTGGTACAGGTAACGTAATGTGTATATGATAAACTAAATTCTTAAGAGGTGTTTACATTAGAACGTTATCGTGATAATGACGCTATCATGACATATTTGCAGTAAATTTTCATACATTTTACGTCTACCTAATCAAGTAGAATACTTTATCATCATCAGCATGTAAAAACAGACTTCAGGTTCCGTTATATGGGGGTTATACGAAGGCGTGGACCTGCACAGACAATTTTCTGTCATAGGCTGTAATATCCATTTTGAACTTCAAATACCAAATGTGAAACAATTCCGTTGAATAATGTCGCTAAAATCATCTAAATACCGAATATCGGAAGGTACCGTTACATGGGGGCTATACCGAAACGTAGACCTACATGGTCCATTTTCGAAACCAAAATTCCTACAGACATAATATACATTTCAGCAAAATTTTATCTACCTACTTCATTTCGTTCGGAGCTAGAGTGATTTCCGCAGACGGACGGAATTTCATGCTGATCGACAGAATTTCATGCTGATCAAGAATATATGTACTTTGTGGGGTCTAAAATGAATATTTCGAGGTGTTACAAACGGAATGACAAACTAAGTATAACATCTACACTAGGGTGGAGGGTATGAAAATGAAACCAGGGGCTGGATTCTAGTTCTATGAAAATATGAAATTTTTGTATTAATATTTTTCAATTCACATTTTCATAGAACGATAACTGAGGCCCAGTTCAATCCAAATTCCAAATTTTTAATAACAAATATATTTTATTTGAAAAATATTTAAATATTCCAAAACAAACATTTTTAAAAAAAGGAAATAACTGTTGTTTGTTAAAGCAAAAATTTTTGAGGGTCATAAAATCAAAAAATTTAGAACATTTTTATATTTTCCGAAAAAAAAGAGTTTGCGTTTAAAGTCTTGTGTAAACGCTAAGAAAGCTTGTAAAAATTATCGACAACTTTTTGTAGAATCTTGTGGCATTACGTTTTGTCTATTTAGGACAATATACATGGCATTGCCAGTACGAAATGTCTGGATTTCCGTAGAACATTTGGCAACAAGTGTGCTGTGTTCAGTTGGTAAATGAAACGAATGTGTTTAGTCATCACAAAAAAACAGCTGATTAAGCTTCAGATAATTTACTTTTTAAAACCCTGCAAGGGATTCATTCATTTTCGATCTGGTGAACTCTGTGAACTCCAGCTAATTTCTGGCTTTCGACCTGCTAAGCCCTGAGTGCCTTCTTTTTCGATCAGTTGGTCCCTTTAAATTTGTCTTTTAACATAGACGGAGGACAAGAGCAGGCGATTAAGAACGCAAATGATGGAACAATTCAAAGGTCTAGCAAAAACCTTGTACATTTGGTCGACAACGGAGAACTTGGAGAAAAAAGTAGACGAAATAAAGGCAGCTACAGGAGGAGATGTTCAGGTTGAAAATATTAACCGCTTATCCATGGGTATGTTTTGATTTTTTACTATATGTTCCAGAATGTTTTTTAAATTCCGTTTTTTTATATCAAATTCCAGCAACTTATGCCAATGCTTCATTTGATTTAATTGTCATTGAAAATGCCCAATTGACTGATGCATTTGGAAAGTTATTGAACTTATTAAAACCCAAAGGCAAATTACATTTGTTAACATACGTGGGTAGTTCTGAAAGTATTTTGCAAGAATTAAAATTGTCGGGTTTCGTTAATTCAACGAACTCACAAAACACCATTACATGTGAAAAGCCTGGTTATGAAACTGGTTCGGCGGTAAAATTGTCATTTGCTAAATCTAAACCAGCTGCTGCTGCAGTATGGAAAATTGATGGCGATGAGGCTGAGGAGGAGGATTTAATAAATGAAGATGATTTACTGGACGAGGAGGATAAAAAGAAACCAGATCCTGAGTCTTTGAGAGGTAAGTGTGACAAGCAGTAACAAAAAAAGAATAATTAAACATCTCAATTTTAAGTTTGTGGCACAACCGGCAAAAGAAAAGCCTGCAAGAACTGTTCCTGTGGTCTAGCTGATGAATTGGAAGCTGAAAAACAACAAAAGACCAAAGTGGAAACACAAAATGCAAAATCTAGTTGCGGCAGCGTAAGTCAGATGCAATTTTTATGTGAAATTAAATTGATAATTTTTTTTTTAATGTTTGTTTGTAGTGTTATTTGGGTGATGCTTTCCGTTGCTCTACATGTCCCTATTTGGGTATGCCCGCCTTTAAACCTGGCGAAAAAGTACAACTTGCCGGAAACCTTTTAAACTCTGATTTATAATTTGATGTACATGGCACAATTGTTCTTAAAAATTCCAAAAACGAAAATAAATATAGTATTTTGATAAATTATAACTAGGGTTTAATTTTGAAATAAATTCTGAACTTATAACATTCAATTTTAAAGGGAATATTTTTGAGGGATACTTTAATACGAATCGTGGATTGAATGACTTCTAGATCATTAAATGTGATAATTTAAAATCACAGTTTTTGGATGAAATGGACTAAATATATTTAAAAATAATGTGGAGCAAGTTGAGGGGCTATGCTCGGATTATTTTGAAATTTTTACCGCAGGTGGGTATTTTTAAACTGATTAAGGGAAAGTAATTTTTTCGTGGGGGAAATACCCGGCTACCCGGTTATTTGACCCGAAAGTTCGATTACAAAATAAGGTTTTTATCCAGTTCTACAAAACCGTTATGTACAAAATATCATTTGAAAGCTTATGGAATTACATATCCAACAAGTTGTCATATGATAGGTTTATTGAAACCGCTTCCGGACTAATTGCAGAAAATTGGTATTTTTATACCAGTACTTTTTGAAAAACACCTACAAACTTGAAAATAGACCCATTATGGTGTATTAAGATCTACATGCTGCATTATAGCCTATATTCTTGCCTTTCCAAAATGGTATCATATGTGCTGATATCTCTTATAGTTCCAAAGATATATGTGATGCAAAATTATGGCTTGAGATTTTCTCCCCTGGGGTATGTCCAACGCCGGCTACGCGATCCATAGTATTTCTATACATTGTAATTTTGGTAGGTAGCCGGCCTTCGGCCGGAGCTTGAGATTTTCACCTTTAGGGTATATCCAACACCGGCTACGCGATCCATAGTTTTTCTAAACATTTTAAATTTGGTAAGTAGCCGGCCTTCGGCCGGGGCTTGAGATTTTTGTTTCGCTTGGCCGAGAGTTGTGAACTGCCGAATTTGGTTTTCTCCGATGAGAAAATATTCGTTGTCAAGCAGTTTGTAAACAAATAAAATGATAATAAAATGATGATAAAATGATTTATTTCCCAAAGAGGTCAGCTGAACATGTGCACCTTCGGTTGGCCACCATAACTCAAGCGCCGGCCATGGTGATGGTGTGGGCCGCCATAACAGCCGATGGTCACTCTCCGCTCGTATTAATCGACTGTGGCATCAGAATAAATGCCGAATATTATCGCGAAACTATTCTGGAGGGTGTATTAAAGTCTTGGGCACGCAAACATTTTGGCCGCAGACCTTGGACATTCCAACAGGACTCAGCACGCGCCACCCAAGGATGGTTACAAAATGAGGTTCCTCGCTTCATTTCCAGTGCACAATGGCCACCAAAATATCCGGACACCAATCCGTTGAACTATTATGTCTGGAGTATTTTGGAAAGCAAGGTTGGAACTAAAAAATACCAAAGTGTCGATCACCTCAAGCAAGCGCTTCGCCGGGAATGGGCCAAAATACCCCAGAGCAACATTCGGGCAGCGTGTGACCGTTTCATTGGCCGTTTGAAGGCCATAATTAGTGCCAAAGGTGACCAATTCGAACAAATCTAAACTTTCATTCAATAAAATTTAAAAAAAAAAAAAAAATTATGGCGTTTGACTTTGTTGCTTTTTTTATCTCACTCTTTAGAGTTTCAAATATGGATTTTGAATGACAATAAATAACCTGCAGGAGGATTTCTAAAGAATCTCTTTGAAGGAATTAATTTTTAAACACTTCAATAATTTCAAATATGCGTTTTGAATCACTAGTTTTTGAAGGACATCTAGAGTTTTAAACGCGGATTTTGCATTTTTTTAGGTCCTACTAGAGTTTTGAAAATGATCATTCAAAGTTTTTGATAGAATTGTAGAGTTTTAAACGTGGATTTTGAAAAGGTTTTTTTATTGACTTCTGATTTTGAACGTGGATTTTTAGAAATATCCACGTTTTATCGTTGGTTTTTGAAAGAATGTTTCTTTGTGGACTTCTAGAACTTTAAACGAGGATTTGAAAATAATATTTTTAAATGTCTTTGGAGTTTAAAATGTGGATTTGAATAGAATATCAGGGATGATTTTTAAAAGTAATTTTTTTCTTTTTTTATACCCTACAACACTATGTGTTGGGGGAATTATAAGTTTGATTGGGCCAGAATTTATGTAACACCTCGAAATATTGGTTTCCCATATAGGAAAGTATATACGAATCTTCCTAGCTCGCCGAGCTGAGTCGATCTAGCTATGTATGTCCGTCTGTCCATGTTAATTTGTAATCACTCTACAGGTCGCAATTGTGGCCCGATCTTCACGAAATTTAGAATGTAGGTGGGGCTTGGACCAGAATAGAACCCTATTGCTTTTGGAGATGATCGCCAAATGTTTAGGGGTTGAAATGGTCCAAATACTGAAAAATTGTCGGATTTTGCAGTAGCTATACAGGTTGCAATTTATTTATTTATTTATTTATTCAAACTCATCTGTGTAATACAGGGCCTTTAAGACCATAAAATCATATTACATAGCTAGCAAAACCTGACTCAAATAGTTGTAATACAATGCAATCATTATGAAGATCATTTCACCAAAAGTCAGAAAATCAGAAGCATGGCTATTTAGAAAAGAATAAGAAAACTACAGCTCAAAAGAAGCAAAATGAATAAGAAGTTTCTTCCTAAAAACATTATTAGAGTGGGAAAATATCCTCAGTTCATAGGGTAATAGATTCCAATTCCGTGCAATTCTAACTAAGAACGATCTCGCATAAACATCTCTATAAATCCTTGGTATAACTATTTGAGGATTTCTTGTTGAATGAGAAAACACAAAAATACTGTATAGAGATGTTGGTGTGCGACATTTGATAATATTATAAAAGGCAACAAGAATTCTATAAGACACAAAATCGGTAAAAGAACACCCCAGAAAAAGTTTAACATATCTAGATATATGGTTCCTTCGGGGAACGTTGTAAACAAAACGCACAACTGAATTTAAAATTCTCTGTAAACGTGTAAAACTGATCCCGATACAGCCCGAGATTACTTCCAAACCATATAGGATGTTAGAAATCAGCGCAGCATGAGCTAAATATTTTCTAATGCGAAGAGGCATATATAATTTGGCGGAATAGATCTTACTCAACAGAAAGCAATCTCTCCCAGATAAAGCATCAATATGTTGTCTAAAAGAAAGCTCATTATCCACTTTAACACCTAAAATTTTGTGGTGAGTAACAAATTCAATATTATTGTAATTTAAATGGACATTGATATCGGAAGCCGTATTATTCCTCTTACCAAACATCAAAGCCTTAGTTTTTGACGGATTAATTGTAAGATAATTCGCCGATGCCCAATTAGAGAATTGCTGCAGACATTCATTTACATTGCTTTCAAACAAAGATAAGTTATCACTATCTCCAGTTAAAATGAAGAAAATGTCATCAGCAAACTGCAACGTTTCACAAGATTTGAACTGCATGGTATCACGCAAGTCATTAACATAAAGAAGGAATAATAGTGGTCCCAATATAGAACCTTGCGGTACACCACTATTCAAACTCACTGGGTCAGATTGGTTACCATTGATAGCAACAAACTGTGATCTATCTCTGATAAATGAATAAATCAGTTTACAGGCAGTTCCAGAAAAATTAAAATTATCTCTTAATTTAGTGATTAAATGAGCAAAGTTAATGGAATTGAACGCTTTTGATAGATCAAGAGATAAAATGACACTTAATTTTCGATCATTAATATTATGGCGGATGAAATCAGTGGCTTTTAAAAGTAAGTGTGTGGTGTTGTGCCTTTGCCGGAATGCAAACTGTGTGTCAGATATCATATTTGAAGTATATTCCAAAATTTGATTCTTCAAAATCATTTCCATAATTTTTGAAATTGCTGGTAGGATTGATATTGGACGTAGGTCATCTGGACTATATACGTTTTTAGCTTTTGGTATAGGAACTATAGACCAATCGACGAGGAATTTCGCATGTAGCTAGAGTTTAGGGCGGGGAAGAAGCCTACCAATTTGGGTGGTCATCGGATAATATTTAGCGGGTAAAATATACCATATATTTTGTGTTGAAAAAATTCAAAATTTTTCATTAAACCGCGAATATTTTAAATCCCGGCGAAATCACAAAGCCATGACAAGGTTACTTCTGATCTTTACATTGATGTTAACATCCAACAAAACGGATATATAGCAAAATATGTGCGATATATATGTTTATCAAAGAAGATATGCTTGAAAAATCTCTTATATGTCGAGAACGGCTGAACTGATTTCGACAGTTCTCATTAATTCAGAATGGCCTCTTGGCAGGAAATAAAAAACGTCTAAAAAATCGCATAAAAATATCTCTCCAAAGATGAAAATATTGATTTTGTAAAATTTTCTCATATTTTTTCAATTTTGTCATATTTTTGGCATATTTTCATTTTGAATTAAACATTTGGTAATATTTCTATAGCTAACAAAACTAAGTAGTTAGGATATGAGGATCTCATATACAGATCTCATTTATGGTCCGATCCTTACGAAATTTTGCATGGGGATAAGATGAGGGTCGGAATAGAAGCCTACTCTTTTTGGAGATGATCGCCATATATTTAGGGGTTGAATGGGGGTTACCGGACATTACAAAAGCCAAGCAGTTTTGCATGGCCATCCAAAAATATTAAATGTGTGAATAGTTTGTCAACTTTTGTAGACAAAATACGAAAATATCCATTCCAGTGACTTTTTGGAGAATTCACAAATACAGGAAAGACGCACTTCTGACTATTTCATTAACGCTGATTTCGTTGAAGAATATAGTCAAATGTCTGTATCTCATATAGATGCGTTTCAGTCAAAAACCAATAATAAATGTTAATCTTTTGCCACTTCTGAGAGATTATAGGTCTTTGGGAAATATTGGTTCTAGATCTAGGAAGACCATTTACGTGCAAAATCTACCAATAAATTGGAAATGAGCAAATTAGTTTAAGTTGCTATTATTCGAAAATTATAGAACGGAACCTGATGGTTTTCTTTTATTATTTGTCACAATATCTTGTGCAATTCTTTCGAGTATCTCGCCTATATAAACTGTATCGTTTATTATAGTGTTGTAGGGTATCCAACGGTCGGCCCCGCTCGACTGTAGCCTTTGCTTACTTGTTTAAAAATCACAATGGTCATAAGATGATAAGAAATAATTTTGAAGGACTTCCCAAGCATTAAATTAAAACAAATTAGAACGCACTTATTGTTTATATAAAAATAATTTATTAATACATATAACTTGTAAATAAAAAGTACAAGTTCTTAAAAGCTATACAAAATAATATTTCATACTGCAATTCTGGGGACTGTGATTTAAATCTTCTTATTTATCACAGGGTGTTCCCTTAATCAAATCCCGATTATTACCAGTCAAGATGCGATAGTTAACAGCAGCCGGATCTAATTTTTGATATAAATATGTTGGCATTTTATCGGATAATACCCATAGATTTCCTTCGGGATCAATTTTCATGTCATTCGGAAAGACTAAAGTGTGTGAATCGGAATCAATTAGACCCTGATTATCGGCTTGATAGGGTTTTTTGGTATTCCAGCAGGCGATGGCATCCTTATTGACTTGGGTATAGAAAATGACATCGGTTTGCAGATCATAAACTTCCGCGGTAGATTGGCCATTCATGCCACGATCTCCAACATATTTGAAATCAAAATAGGCAGCCGGACTGGTGACATGGGTTTCGTTTTGCAAAACCTTATTGGAGACCATAAATTCTTTGGTACTAGCCAAGGCATGGAAGTAGACATCTTTGGTGTGATCAGCCTTGCGGGGACCAATGGCCATGCCAAAGACACCATCTGTCCATTGGAAGTTAACGCCGCCAACATTGAAATCACCAAACAATGGATCGAAATGGAAGAAATTGTGTTTGACACGATACGAATGATTGTCACGGAACGAATAGACAATAACGCCATAGGCACCCAAATCCGGAATGTAAGCATAGGCATCTGAGCATTCCGAACGTTCTGAGTCCACAATCTGGGGAATACAAAAAACATACGAAATTAGAGAAACAATGAAAATTCATTTTGTACTAGAACTTACAATATTGGCCAAGAAACTATCCTCCTTCAATTGCGTTTTGGGTATGGTAAAGCGACGCACCAATTTATCGGTTTTCAAATCAAAAATTGCAATAGCATTAGGTGTCACTTGTTTGCCTTCACCCAAAATATCAGCCAAACCGGTATCCAAAACCCATAGACGATCACATTTATCAGCATTAATACGGAATGTTGAAATAATGGTAGAATTATCCTTCAATGGACAGCCTTTTTCATCTTCACATTTATCGCTGGGTATTTTATTATTTTCCCAACTTGGATATGGACGAAGTTTGGGAGTTTTCTCCTTGGTATCCAATTCGACATAATTTAATGTGGCCGCAACACCAGATTTCCATCTAAAATAAAGATAAGGGTAATGAATGAGTAATAGTGTTTCTTGTTTAGGGGGCATTTATTGAATACGTTTTAAACGTGAGGGGATTTTAAGTTGTCAAATGTGGGATTAAAAGAATATTATTTAAGGATCTTGCAGGGTTTTAAACGTTAGCTTTAAAATGAATAGTTTTTGAGGGAAAAGGATTGTTTTAAACGTGGATTTTTAAATGAATAATTTTTGAGGGAATCGGTTTGTTTTAAATGTGGATTTTAAGAGACTATTAACTGAGACACTTTAAAGGTTTTAAATTTGGATTTGAAAACAATATTATTTAAAGAACCAGATGAGTATAAAACGTGGATTCTTATAGAAGAATTCGCGAAGAACTGCGTTTTCAGCATACAGGGTGAGATAAAAAAACTGCAACAAAGACAAACGCCATAATTTTTACATTTTTTTTAAAATTTTATTGAATGAAAGCAAAAGTGTCGGAAATAGCATCAAATTTTAGAATTAGTTTAGATTTGTTTGAATTGGTCTCCTTTGGCACGAATTATGGCCTTCAAACGGCCAATGAAACCATCACACGCTGACAGAATGTTGGTCTGCCGTATTTTGGCCCATTTCCGGCGAAGCGCTTGCTTGAGGTGATCGACACTTTAGTATTTTTTAGTGCCAACCTTGCTTTCCAAAATACTTCAGACACAATAGTCCAACGGATTGGTGTCCGGAGATTTTGGTGGCCATTGTGCACTGGAAATGAAGCGGGGAACCTCATTTTGTAACCATTCTTGGGTGGCGCATGCTGAGTGCGATGGTGCTGAGTCCTGTTGGAATGTCCAAGATCTGCGGCCAAAATGTTTTGCGTGCCCAAGGCTTTAATACACCCTTCAAAATATTTTCGCGATAATATTCAGCATTTATTCTGATGCCACGGTCGATTAATCCGAGCGGAGAGCGACCATCGGCTGTTATGGCGGCCCACACCATCACCATGGCTGGCGCTTGAGTTCTGAATGACTTTTGGTATTCAAAAAAAATTAAATTGAGCAGAAAAGGTATTGCGACCCAAGGAAGCTTTCCGATATGTTATAGTGTTGAAGGATATCACTTGACTTTTGACCTTTCTTTACTCTTTTTTTATTTACATCCTTTTAATTCCGATAGACCTGAAACAACAAAGATTCTAGTCAAGGCAAAGTACACCGCTTGCTTTGGACTTTCAACCGCACTTCGAGGCAGTAAATTAAGTTTACACTTCAAACTTGTTGATTAATGACAAAGTTGCACCACAAAGAAGTTGGTTCAAAACAAAAGGCCAACAAAAAGAATTAACTTCAAATGTAGACACTTCGTTGAATGAATGCCAAATAGGAGACAATTCTATTGCCACTTATGCCAAATGGAAAAATCCACATTCTGACTAGAATATAATTAGCAGAAAAATCCAAGCCAATTGCCGTTCGGTCGTCCAAGACCAAACACAAGCATTTTGCGGTCAACAACGTTAAGACCAACAATTAAACGTACGGATACGCTTGATTGTTGGCTTTTGAGCTGCAATTAATTACAATTGTCAAATCGTACATTCTGTGCTGTCGTTCCCATGGCTATCAAACTTTGAAATTTTTGGTTTAAATGCCATAAATAATTGCTAACGATTTTGAAGAGTCAACATCAATTAATCGAAGGGAAGTAGGTAGGTAGTATTTAAAGGAAAACAAAAAATCCGGTTTTTTTTGGAATTAATTTCAATTCTCAATGAATGTGATTTGATGATACCTTTTTTTATTGCTAAGAAGATAAATGACACTTGATATTACAAAAAAACCAGGTTATGTTATTGTGATATACAAATTCAATTTCAAAGGAATTTGGAAATCTTGTGATAATCTGTTGTTAGGAATGCGTTTACATACACATGTACTTAGCTGTGAATGTTTGAAATTTGAAAAGTCGAAAGGAAATGTTATGAGACTAAATTTTTTAAGTCAATGACTTGTTAGAATATTCTGGCCTAGAGACCATTGATGTTCATTCTGCCTTACTCAATGTGTTTCATATAGACGACAGTCGCCGACCGCCCAATTGTGTTCTAACTCATTACCGTTTTATGTGTTGTTTTTATCGATAGTAATCGATCATTGTCAATGACATTTGTAAGCCGCGGTTTTTGCATTTCTCGTTGTCCTTTATTTGCCTTCTTGTGATAATTTCTGTTGTTGTATTTATTGTTTGTCTGATTGCCGTCAAGTGAGAGAGTGCAAAACCTGAGATAAGTCCTTTATTTTTTATGATTATTGTAATGTATAGTTGTTGTTTTTTTTTTTTATAGAAATAACCACTTTTATTGGCACGTTACAAGCAAAACTCCCCGCTTTAAATTTTACTTAGTTATAGCCGTAACATAGAACATTTATTTACAAATAATTGTTCTTAATATCATTTTTGTGGCCTAGAATAACAGACCCATTCAAATACGTATATATGTTAAATTTGTGTTAAGAGCAACAAGTCCACAATTGCCAAACAAATCTCCTCTGTGGTTTTTATTGTTTATTTCCACCGAAAAATGGAAACAAATAATTCGTGGTATTCACGTTTTTTGTATTTTTTTATTATTTGTTTTGGTATATTGTGGTTGTTGTTGTGCAGAGAATGACGACACTAGGTGTGTTTGGTTACTTTTCCTGCAGGAATTGTCCAGTAACTTCTTTCTGAGAGAGTAAGGTAGTTTTATTCTCTTTTGCAAGGAAAATGCGAAAAGTAAACAGACGGTATTCCTGCAGAAGCTTGCAACTAATCAGCTGATAAAATCAAAACAAACCAATTTGTCCCCCATAAGGAGAATTAAAACAAAGGAAGCAATACTAATTTTACAAGTTTTTTAAATAAAAATGTTGGAAATAGTCTTTTATTTTCTTATTACATATTAACTTTTACGTTTTTCACATTTTGTAAAGTTTTTCTCCAAAAACTATTAATCTTGCTAATTCCAAAAAAAATTTTCAAATTGAAAGCACAAAAATAAATAAACAAACAATAGAAAACATCTGATTGAATCTCGATGAATGAGAAGAAGAAGAGTTGCAAGAGATTGCAAGAAGAAATTTTTCCAGCAAGAATTTGCAAACTCTCACTGAAAGAACTGTCAAAATTTCTCTCTCCAACCGCTCTCTTTTGCAGAACTTTTGGGTTAACAGACGACTTCCAGTAACAATTTGTAACAATTGTTACAAATTTTAGGGTAACCAGACACACCTACTCTTGAGATTTTGCTGTTTGGGATTCATTATCACTGCTGCGATTAGCCAATTTGAACATTGTTCGTTTGGTTTTATTTTGTTTGTTTTGTTTTTATTCCATTTCGTGGTTTAGAAGTTAATAATAGCTTGTTAGTTTTGCAGAATAATTGATGGATGTTTTATTTTCGGAAGAAGTCGTAAAAAAGTTGTAGGGAAACAGTAGTAGCGCAAGGTAATTTGGATAATTTAATTAATTTGATGAAAATAGAATAAAAATTGCAAAGAGGAAATTGTAATTGAGTTTGATAATGGGAAGTTCAGTAGCATATCGATATTAAAACACAGATAATTATTTTAAGTACTAAATAAAAAATGTAATTCGAAACAATAATCGTTGAGTTAAAAACAAAAATGTATGGACAACCCATTGTTATTCTGGGTCAGAAAACATTGATACAGTTTTTGGCCCCTGATAATAGTTCTATACATATACCTATTGTTTTTTTGGAATAGAATATAAAAATATCATCTATCAAAAGAGAAGAAAGCAAATCAATTTGCATAATGCCTTTTTGTTTTGATTTGGTACCTTTATTATACACTCCATCAGAACAATGGAGGGTACCTTCCCGTATTCTACGGAGATTTTAAGCCGATCTATCCAAGCAAACCAGACTTATCGTTGTATAATAGGTCAACAAAGTTTATGACTATGCAGTCGAATTTGACCTCAAGAATTTTGAGGTGGTTAGTGGTCGGAATTATTTGTCCCTTGACGTGCACATTCAGCTGTGCGCTCATGTCCGCAGTCCACGTGGCGGCAAGTCCCAAGAGATAGGTGTTTACCCCGACCCATATGTCATTAACGACAAGAACCGACGCCATGATCGTACAGTTATCTACGTAGCTTACGATCTCAATGCCATCTGGATGGGGCGAAATAGTTCCGGAGATAGCAGTTCCGGTTATGTAGTTTCGGACATATCACCTAACCTTGGAGAACTCCCTGTTTCATTCTACGAGTTTTAGACTTTTTATTCCGGAATTCTACGTACGAATGGCGTCCTCACATATAGTTGATTGTTCAATGTTTCAAACTTGGTCGGAGCTTTGTGTTCTCAACGTCCAGGAACTGCGTGACAGTATTATAGGCCTTTCGTAAGTCGAGAACCACTACTACTGTTCTATGGCAAGGCCTGTTCTGATTGAGTCCTCAATTAGAAATCACCCTGCCTAGGGGAACTTTCTGTTTCAGTCTACGAGGCTTAGACTTCTTATTCCGCAATTCCACTTACGATTGACATATAATTGACTATCCAACATTTCAAACTCGGCCGGAGCTTAGTGTTCTCAACGTCTAGGAACTGCGAGGCAGTATTATAGGCATTTCAAAAGTCGAGAGCCACTACTATTGTTCTATTGCAAGACCTGTTCTCATTGAGTCCTTAGGTAATATGTGTGGATATGGTGTGCAATGCTGTTGTGGTACTGTGTTGTGATCGGAAACTGAGTTGATTGGTTGGCAACTTAATAACTTCCTCTGATGCGCGAAGGAGTAAAGCCTAGAGAGTCTTTGCTACTGGCGGCGAAGGCAATATTGACCTACATTATTCTGCTTTGCTGGCATCTTGGCTTCAGTAGACCACCTTGCTCATTTTCTATGTTTCGGGAACGATGTGGGTGGCTAATGACAAGTTGAGGACTATAGTATAATAATCGGCACCCAGTGTATTTTTGCAACATTACCTTTAATATTCCGTCCGGGTCTAATGCT